GCATGTGAACTGCTGGCAAAACTGAGATCAGTGCTTTGATGGTAGAAGAATGGAATTTATTTCTTGCACCGAATATCCAGGCAAACTCGTAGCAAAGATAGCCGCGCCATTGCATGTCACGAAAGTTTTCCAAGGCATGACCTGAAGCACTGTGCAAATAAAAAATCAAATAAAAAAAGTTGAATCGAGGTCATGAGTTGAAGCATGCCAGACGACCTGCATGGTTTCTAACCAAGTTTACGTGATGCTTACAAGCATCTTTTCTTCTTACTATATGCTGTGAGGTCAACAGCGGTCGTGCGTACAGCTCAACATTCTTGACAATTCGCAGCAATATACATTCTCAGGACTAGGCTGATCTACTGATGTAACACTGGACTGTCTTCGAACCTCCTTATCTGTTAATCCAGAATTCACTGGGTAAATTTAGTTTGCTACTGAACACTGGACTGTCTTCGAACCTCCTTATCTGTTAATCCAGAATTCACTGGGTAAATTTAGTTTGCTACTGAATCTTGCAATTTGTCACGTTGAGGAAACCTAAAGTTCGACAGCCGAGTCTTCAAGATACTTCATATTTGAAGACAACACAACAGTGGTAAGTATCATATATACATGCAATCTATTTTATGGTTAAGATAGGGGAATGTTAAAACGAACACATCTAGTGTTAAAACTACCACAGACGCGTCATCTGTCTAATAAGTACTGATTGCAAAGATTCCTGCAAGAAAAAAATACGTTGAGCACATACTCTTGTATTGTGTTCCGTCTGACCGGAAAATCTACACTTCCGCACTTGTGAAGCGTTGCCTGAAGTGTGAGATTTAGCAGATATACTCTTTGAACGATTTCAAACTGCGAAGCATCCCGCTAGGTTGATGATTCACTCCGAAAGGAGGGTTGAACCGGTACTCGAATTCGGGCACAAAGAGGGCGCCCACGTGTTCGCATCATTGAGTCATGTGTCCGTGATACGCGTCTCTAGTGTGGTCGTTTTAACAATTTTGTGTGTTCCTTTTAACATTCCACTTAGAATATGCATTAAATATGTCTATGAGATACAAGGATTGATCTAAAGGACAAGATAATACTCCAATCTTCATAAATAAAAGCACAAGTAGATTGATTGAAATTTATTTTTTCGTCGTAAGAATTTTTCATATTTGTCCCATAACTCAAAGTAAATCATCTAATGAAATATTACTTATTTATTTGTACTATCAAATTTTGAATAAATTTTATTATTAAATTTTATGAAATTATTTAAAAATTTAATCATTCTTTTCGGTCAACTTTAACAAAAATATCATTAAATTGAACCAAGAAAATACTATTGTATTTGAAGATGATGACCTTTTTAATGACGTACAATTAAAATAAAATAAAATATTTTATCAATGATTTTATCTATTATTTAATATTTTGTCAAGAGATAGGATGATGAATGATAAAATATATATTAAGTAAGTTTATTTTTCATGTCAATGGTTGTTAAATTTAATCTAATCTCCGAACTGATTCACCGGACATGAGAAGTTTTTTAAATAGTTTATGAAAAATTCTAAGAGGGTATAACTCATGAACATAGCAAGATATATTTTCACATAATCTGTCCACTCATTACTCAATATAAACTCAGAAAAATAAAAGATAATTAAAAAAAAATGAGTGTGAAATCTTCACACAAAGATCTTCTCAAACTTATTTGAAATGTTTTTTTAATTTTTTCAAATCACTTCAGAATTTATTACTTAAACTAATGATAAGGTATCATGTAATTTACATCAGCCTACACTAAAAATGATGACATGTCTTTGAGGTTCTTGAAATTTTCAGAGCTTCAACTTGATACTAAGTCAAATTTATATTTATTTCAACCAATGAGATATACAGTAATTAAAAATAGCTAAAAAGTATAAAATAATAAAAAATATCATTTGTTAGGAACTAATATTTTATGAAAGATAATAAATTATTTTTCAATTATAAATGATAAATAATCTAATTTTCTTATTATTGCCAAGTCTAGATTAATAGCTAAACGAAAAAATAACTAGTCAAAAGTAATCATGACTAAAATGATCATGATCAATAATTATGTTGATTTTACAACAAATATATTTATAGAACTATGAATCTATATTTTTTAAAGATTTTACTAATAAATGTATCATATTAGATTATTTTCTTGATATCAAACAGTTGAATTCCTTTAAAAAAAATCAAGATCTGATCGAATTTTTGATGAAATAAAACGCACATCAGGTCATGTTATATTCAAGCGTGATATTTAAAATATTTTTTTTATAAGTACTTATAATCAAAAAAATATTTAGTTAAAATCAAGACCAGTTATATTTGACATGGAATAGGTGATAAAATTATATTAATACAAGCATGAAAATTTAAATATGCTAAAGGACTATATCATATGTTATATAATCAAATTTAGATGACTTATTTATCACACTGTAGATTGGATGATTGGATGATATGAATAATAGTGTATACATTATTTGGCAAACAAGGCTTGTCGTCATGTCATAGTCAAAGTTGATTAAGAGATATATGAAAATTGTATCATGAACAAAGATTATAGAATCAGCTTTTGATGTTGGTACTCACACATTCAAGAAGCATTTGGATATGTAGAAAATGAAGTTTGACTAAATTTTCTATGTTGAATAATCCCACTCTTTGAAAAAATAGATTACTTATCATTTCATCATCATTTACTTATCATCATCGTTTACAAATTTCCATAACTTTTTTTTCAAATGAAAATTTGAATTTTTCTAATTTTTTAAGTTAAAAGACTTATGTTTAAACTCAAATTAATAATGAAGTAAAATATGGTGATATTGATTTTAGTGTATATACACCCAACACACACCCACCCAAGAAATGCCACGCTATACACCAAAGTAATGCCACTGCGTGAGTGTGTGTTGGGTGTATATACACTAAAATCACTACACTCGTAAAAATATAGCCCATCAACAATGACAATGAATATATTCTTACAATTTTAGATAAGATTGCAAAGAAAATTCAATTATTTATTATGCATTTTATACTCAACAACAGAATTTTTTTTAAGCGATTGAAAAATGATATGGGAATCGTTCTTCAACTTTGCCAACACGGTGTGAGTAGGTAGTCATGTTTAACATTCATTAGAACTAGAATAAAAGTTAGTGTTTTAGAAGAAATAAGGTGTGGAGTTGCTCAAAAAGTTTAAGTACGTGATGAAAACATAATATTGTGTAAGTCTGTACGAGATCGTTATCAGTTGCTCAATGTGAAGTGTGACTATGACAAATTTTCTCACAATAAGAATAATTTTCTTGTGAAAGTCAAGACATATAATCTTCAAGTGTGGTCTTAAGTGATCTTGTAAAGATGACATCTTTAATAGAGTGAGCCAAAAAGAAAGCGAGTATGATATTGAAATCTTCAAAAATAGAAGCTAATAAATTATAAAAAGAATAGATATAACATTAAAATTTAGAAAAATAGGGAGTGTTATCCCTCAAATAGGGCTAATTAGCCATCGCTCTACTCTAGGCTCTTCTCTGATTGGTAGAAGCAGGGTTATAGTAGCAATCATGCTAGGTTGTAGAGTGTTCGACCAATGAGAGAGTAGCTTGTACTAGGGTGATGGTTAATTAGCTCTAAGTGAGAAATAACTAGCCCTCCTCAAAAAATAAATTTTCAAATCAAAGAGGACACTATTGTGAATAAGTGGTTAAGCATGACACCTCAAAAAAAACTAGGGGAGGGCTAGTTATCCCTCAATTAGGGCTAAGTAGCCCTCACCCTAGTATACGCCATTCTCTAATTGATCGAACACACTACATACTACCCTGACTGCTACTCATACGAGGAACCTATAACCCTGCATCTACCAATCAAAGAAGAGCTTGGAGTAGAGTGAAGGTTAATTAGCTCTAAGTGATTGATAACTAGCCGCTCCCAAAAACTATTGCCGCAAAACAAGTAAAAAAACTCAGCAAATATTACAAACAACAATAGTACACATGATGATGATCTATTTGATGCCAAAAATTTTATATGACACTAACGCTATGTCTTTTGCACTTCAACTCTTAATAAATTAATGAAATTTATGTATATATATCAAATATTAAAGTTTATTGGTTCTAATAAGATTCAAATATTTGAAGTATTGCTGAGACTAGGTCTAATTAGAATTTTCTTGGTTTAGTAGATGACTATGATATTATATATATATATATGGATTGATTCAAATCATGATAGGAGAAAACGTCACTGTGAGAGGAAGTAGACATTATAATTATTGTGTTAGAGTACAGCACTCCTTGTAAAAAAGAGAATTTTATTAGATTTCATAACAAGAATGAATACTTGTGACATTTGAGACTAGATCAAGTTAATGAAAATAGCATGTACATTCTACATAAAAAAGTCATAATCTCTGCACTACGATTTGGTTGTTTAGAATTTTGTAAGCATTGTGGCCCTAGAACGAACTGCTTAATAAGTTGAAACTTATTGTTTCATGGAGATTCTTCAATATATACATTGCTGCATATGACATTCATCTACTAGATCTATTTTTCTACAGAAGTGAACGATTCAGAAGTGAAAAAACATTACAACTAATTAATGTTTGTAGAGAGAAAGTCCGCTCTTGACGTTGTGAGCAATTGCACCCTTTTAGTGAACAAGCGACAGAGTCAAATGGAGAATCTCAAGAAATCATTCGATCGCCGCCGCCCGATTAGAAGTAAATCCTTTGCATGTTTACTCCATCGATACTGGAGTCTATTTGATCCAAAGTGAGTTGGAAGGAGCGATAGGCCCTAATTTGTGTAAACATTTTTTGCCATGAAGACACACAGCTCATCGACCGAAGATAACATCCTGATTTTGGGAATGTTATACCATGGCTGAAGCATTAGGGCGATAGTATAATGACAAATATGATAGTACTGATTAGGAAGAATCAGCGATGGTCACTGGGTGCAATGTCCATAAGGCCAAGTGATTAGATGCAGCAGAGAGGAAGAGAACTCATGGGTTTAGAATTAAATTCATCAACGACTATTTGTGAGAAAAGATTAGATAACATGACACAAACTAGTTTTGACTCATAAGATGATCTATGTACACATGCACAAGGTTAACGCAGTACAAGGCTTCGACTTTCGCCTGTTGCAACGCAATCAGCCTATAGGAGCTTGGGTTGTCCATCTACGCGCTGACCCTGGGAACGAAGACTGCAGCGCAAATCTACGCTATGTACGTCAAGAGACACTCGGACGAATTTTTTACAGAAGATATTTATGGAAGACACAGAAAGATGGGCGCAGTTGGTTCAAGGTGCCGAGCATGAGAAGGTAACCACGCTGTACAAGGGAAGGATACTACAGTACTTACAAGTGAAGTACAAGTGAAGGGCTGAAAACTACAGTAGTAAGGTAAGCTATACAGTATACAAGAAGCATGCCATAGACAGGCCAACCTGGTCAATCCCTGTGAATTCTACTACGTTGTCGATGTACCTCCATCCGTACGAGGTTGGCCGGAAGAGAAGTGTTGGAGTGCGCCTCTCTCTCGGCCGTGAGTTCGATCTGAAATTCCAAGCAGGAGTCGTCGAGCTGCTGCTCATGCTCATCCAAGTCCAGCTGCGTCTCGAACACGGAACCGCAGGTGGGAAGATTTCTGAGGCCATTGAGAATGGCCTTGATGTTGTCCACGCTGATGTCGTCGGCTTGGGGTTGTCCCTTGAGGAACGCGGCGAATTCTCGGAGCTCCCTCTTGTATTTGTCAGACCTGGATTTCAGATCCTCGATCCTGTCGACGATCATCTTCCTCATGTTCTGATCCATGTTCTTCGCGCTGGCTAGCTTGCTCTCTAGTTGAAAGACCTGGCGGTCGAGGTATCTCGACTTGTAGTCGTTTGTGGAAGTGAAGCTGTGTTCCTGCAGAAAGAAAGCGAACTTGATCTGCGCGTCGTTAATGTACTTCTTCTCATCCTCGAGCTCCATCACCTTCGTCTCGTACAGTTTGAGTGCGGACCTCTTGACTGCTGCTGCGCTGTTCTCTCCATGCGGCCTGAGGTCGACGCCGTCTTTCGGTTCTTCTGGCATGTCACTCAGTCCCTGCTTCACCTCGTAAGTCACGAATTTGTGATCCCTGGCACGACATTTGCATTCAATGCACTTGCCCGAGACCATCGATGAACATAGACGAATGTTTATTAATTGGATCATTTTAAAGGACGATTCGAAGCCCGTGCACCGATCGTGGCATACTCTATTGTTGATCTGCGTCCGACCGTCTTTCAGGACGACGTGGGTCGTGCAGGCAGGGCTGGTGCAAACGGTTCTTGCGTGAGCTAGCTTGTAAATGGTTGACTTTACCACCTTGGTGGGCTTCATTAGCACCATCCTCAACGCCTCCAGATCCTCTTTTGTGTCCTCGATCTCCTGACGCTTCCGCTCTATGGCACTCGAGTTCTCGATTATCTGTTCTGATAGCATCATCATGGGCTCCTCCAGGCTCTCAATGATACTCTTGACCCTGATGATGGACACCGTTTCCTCGCTCAGATGAGCTCCGACGGAGTTGAACTTGGACAAGAGTCTGACACATTCGTTCACCGATTGATCCCAGCTTCTGCCTGGTGGTCGGGTTTGGAAACTTGGTCCTTGCGGCTTCTGGCATGCTGCCAAGTACCGAAACGCTTCATTGTCGAAGCAGTACATGGTGCTCTCCGTAATCTGTATACTTACTTGCTTCTTCCGTTGAATGTTATCCAGTAGAGATCGGAGTGGCTTTAGAGTGCCACCGACGTGGAAGTTGGTGGACTTCGCGCTAGTAAAACAGAATGCCACGTTGCGGCTGGCATTCTTGTGAAGGTGCACCAGCAGCTCCGTGATACAATACTCCAGCATTATATTCAGCCGCGACTCGTTGGGCTTTAGGAAAATGCAGATCCCATGGATGTGCTTGAACTTCTTCAGTTGGATCAAGATGTTCTTGATATTCTTCTTATCCCAAGCCTCTCCCCTCGTATCTCCGATACCCGGTGTGTCTATGAGACGGACGGATAACCCCTGCCTGCCGGAGTCGGCCTCTATTCTGAAGAGGTATGACTTGCATCTCTGCGTGGAAGACTGACTGGGATCTTCGAAATTCTCATCCTCCAGACTATTGTCACCCACAGTCACGGTATTTTCATTCAAAGACCGGTCGACTTCGGTGAACTGGCTGGGAATAGCAACTTTCACCCCACCTTGCTCAGCTTCTTCTAAGGAATCGTACGACATGTAATTGTAGAAAGCATTGATGAAAGTTGACTTGCCAACTCCTGTCTGACCCAGAAGAAGTAGATTCATTTCGTCGCTCGACAGTCTCGTAGACTGGACAGTCTTGAGGTAGTCAGGATTCCAAAGCCCTCCTCTGTAGAGCTGGATGCAAACGTCCTGATCTCGACCCCAAGATTTACAGCTTGCGTAGTCTAGCAAGAACAGTTTGGACTTACCGCCCGCTTCGCTTTCCTCAATCAAATCTTCAAATAGCTCGTGGTTACAGATCCAGCTTGATTTTCGCTGCACTCTCTCTTTGTTATCGTAACACAAGATGTACAGGCTAGATACGGTGATATTGGCTGCAACCAACGAATCGGGATCCGTGCCCTCCCTTAAAATTTCCACACCCTTTCCCTGCATGTGCTCCAGAAAGTTTACTTTCTCTTCGAGAACTTTCAAGGTCTTCAAATGCTCATTCAGCCCCGCTGCAGAACATTTCGTTCGCTGGAATTCACGTAGATAATAGCCAATCTCGCCCTCTTCTCTGATTCCAGACCGAACATCGACCAAAAGCTCCCGCAAAACAGCACGGAACCTCATTGTTTCTATCGCAATCTCAGTCTGCACTCTGTCTATGCCTGTGAGCTCGTCCTCTGAAATCCCTACCTTTCTGGCCTTTTCCTCTACCTCCTCATAAGTCAAGGTCAGGAGTTGCGTCATGTCCGCCAACCTCTCCAGCTCCTTCTCTACTGCAGCAATTACATCGCTACTCAGAGTTTTCAAGATGGTTCCTTGCACCACGAATGTGGTCCTCAGTTTCTGACATACCGCCTCTACGCTGAGAAGATGGATTTCCTGAGGCTTACCCCTTCCACCGTTGATCTCGATGTGTTGTATGTCTGCAACAGATCGAGCAAACTCTAGTGCAGACTGGAAGTCAGTCGGTTCTATGACGTTTTGTGGCATGATGTCGGCCATTATTTTCACAGATCTCCTCTTCAGATTGTCATCGCCGTTCTGAATTTCTCTTGGTGTGACTTTTACACCTCCTTCGCCGGGATCCAGTTTGGCGGCGCTCATAATATTGCCCACAATTGAGCTAGCCAACCCCGTCTTCAAAGAAGCCTTCAAGCTCACCTCGGCGTTATGTCGAGTTTCATTCTGGGTCACGCCTTGTTCAAAGACGATCACCCCGCTGTAGCCCCACTGAATTCCTACTACGACGTGGGTAGCAGGCGAGTCCTGCAACGCTTCCAACCTGAACATCCTCGCTACGTCCTCGTGTTGGAGATTTAGAGTTTCTTCTTTCGTCACAATTCTGTAAACCATGCAGATCCTCACACAAGTCGAACTCTTGGTCACGCTCGTAAGATACTTACTGGCACCCTTGACATCGGCCAAGCCGAGCATGATGCTCAACTTCAATTCTCCTTCTACTTCCAGTGATTTGAACCTGTCTTCTGTTGAGAATTCCTCTTCCCATGAAAGATAAGTCTGCTTCATGTCCACTGAGACCACTGCGTCCTCTGGAACCTCCCCAATCAGCATGAACTCGGGCATGATCTCGTCTCTTACACCTGAATACAGCTGCCCTAGCTTGCATGCTCTGTTCATTGCTTTTCGTCTCAAACTCCGTTCGCCGGTTGAGATCGCATGCCCAACTCTTGACACCGAGGGCCCTTCATAAAATAGGCTCATCTCTTCCATGTCATGTGGCTGTATCATTAGATTGTTCGATCTCGGAGGACTGTCGAACTCGATACTGCGTGCACAAGTGAAAATCGAAAGACACGTTATCAGCGAGTTAGCACTGCGCAGACACTTGCTCCCAGCACTTAAGAAAAATTTCTACAGATCGAACCGACAAGTACGCATCGATCATCTCGAAAAGTACGATACGAAGCTCAAATTACAAACTGAATATTCCACAGATGTAAAGGTAATCGAAACTGTCTTTTCACCTTTCATCGAAAATCGCATCACTTCTCGGCTTGTACAATTGTGTATCTTCTTTTGTCCAGTCCATTGTCACTTCGTCTCTTGCAAAGCGTGTACAATCGGAGATTGGATCACGGCTTCTCGGCTTCTCGTAAATTGAGTTTATCAAAGTGATCACCGGCAGAATGCTAAGCCTTAGACCGAGGCAAATGAGATCAGACAACGATGAGGATCTGAGAATGATCTAAACTATTTCCTGCAAAATTGAAGAAGCGAGAAGCTTCTTTTAGATGTACTAATGGGGCCAGCCCTTGGTTTTGAGTGAATTCACTTAACTTGACGCGTTCAGGGTCTCGGATGCTCGACTTTCAAAACATCATTTTACAATTGTCCTCGATGTCCTGCACGTCGGACAGCGTCTTCGAGGCTCCAGACCCTGCAGTCTTGTTTTTACTTTTCTGGAACAGTGACCGTCTGTGGATTCGCTTTTGAACCAAGTTCCACGACTCTTCTTCGTCACTCACCCACAGCGTTCTCACGAATCTTTATATCCTTCTGAGTGATGAGGAGCTTGAACTTACTCGCACAACGTCATGGCACGGCTGTGTCTTTAACCTTCCTTTCGCTCGTACAGTGATTTGTGCTATTAAAAGATATGATTGTTGCGTCACTTTTAATTCAGATCCTTACATCTGCACCTCCAAAATAGATTTATTCGAGATTTCATCACTGTCTTGGTTACCTGATGCGAATCTCAGATTTTTGTGGCAGAAAGCTAGGACTCCTCATGACCCCACTTGAACTCACGGCCAGGTTTACGACAAGTACGTACTGTTCGGTTGCCTGGAGAAGATCTGCCTTACTGAGCCCTCAATCCTGAACAATAATTTACCGAACCATTCGTTGTAATTACTAAAAATTGATTTTCCCAGGCTTCATGTCCTCTCTTTAAGTAGATATCTAATAATCATTCTACTATCGTGAATCTCGTAGACAATGCTAGATCGCCAGTAATCCCCGGGAACTTCACCTTCTTTATACAGTGTGTTCCACTCATTTCAGTGATCTATTCTGTGCTGACAAGTGGGTCATACTTGTGAAAAGGTCTGGGTCAAGCAAGGGCTTGTATGGGCGAAGCTCGTATCGCTCACAGTATTTCTCCTTCAAGGACAATCAACAAGAGAAAGTGACCTCTGAAAGTGGATTCAAAAATGAGGTACGTGAAGTTGTTTGTGGGATTGCGGAATCTTCAATTGGATGGAGAGCCTCAACCATGTAAGTCCTTAGAAGACCCAGTGTTGAGTATATTTACGTGCCAGCCCCGAAGAAGAGGATCTTCCAAGCGTGGCTACCCGATTCCACTGCTGATGATTAGCTGGTAAGATCCACCAGGCTTTAAGGCCAGGCGAAGCCCAATAGTGAGCCAAGGGTGTGATCGTCCAGACATTCCATGCAAAGTGTAAAGAAGACCCTGAGCATGGTTTCGGCGACGAAGCTGACAAAAGTCCCGGCAAAGGCATTTGTTTTTACAGATGAGAACTGCAACCAATAAATAGCCACGATGTTGACCCCTGACCACATCGGTTCCGATTCGTAAGATGAGTACTTCCCAACACAACCCACCCCAGGTCTAGGGCGCCCATAGCAATTCTATTGACTTGGCTGTCACAGTCAGGCCTATAGGTGGCAAAGAGGAACAGCGGCACAATGGTGGAAAATACTTCGAGTGCAAACCGATTGCTGCAGAGGTAATTCTGCATGAACCAGAATTGACAATATCTCCACAGAGCCGCATGCTGAAACGCTCAGAGCGTCTTCCTCGGTACACTATCCTCATGCACATTTCCGAAAATTAGGGAGCCAACACTCCGATAGAACAAGGGGACCTTCCTGCACACTCCATCGTTCAAACAGAGTCGTCCCTATCGCCCTTCGTATCTCAAGCGTGATGACGACACAAATGCCAGAAAATATAACCATAGCCAGTTCCGTTCTTGAAGGTGACTTTCACAGCAAGAGCGACTGTTGTTCCTAGAATCAACAGTGGCCACGTTTCACGCAAGACAGAGAGTGCAGACAGAATCGGAACGGACTGCTCTTGAAGTGCAGTTTACGGAAGCTTCAATCCTGCCGAGTGATACGAACCCATTTCCCCCTTGGCCATATCTTATTGATTCCGAGTCGCTGCCTTCGTCAGAAAAGTCAGTCTTTTGATAACGCAGTCTAAAGGCAACCGAAAGAGACCCACTACTCCCGAATGCATTAACCCACCATATCGTGATAGACTGGGTTTGGCAAACATATAACGACATCACCATCCTCTGCTGATGATTTCCGTCGAAAACACACTCTACAGTATTCTCATCTAAATCCGTGACCTAAGAGGCCTGTCAGAGGCGGAGCTGTCGTCCTGGGCGAAATTAGTTGAACGAGGGTGGTAACCCATCCTCAGCAGGATTAGGGCTAGGGTTTGGCTTGGTACATGTGGGACTCCACAGGGTTTTAGCCACGGATGGTTGATGATGCAGGGTTTAGATTTCCTAGGCTTCGTAGGAACTCTGTGCATGGTTCAGGAGTATGAGGACGTTACAGTATATCAAACATTGTATCACAATGCTCACGTCTGCTTCTGAAGATTCTTCAATTTGTTATCATTTTACGTTGGACGGTGGTAACTTTCTCCGATAATCTAAGGGCTCCTTCAAAGTACTTACATACATTAGATGTTTGTTAAAAAAATTGCATTCAAATTGAACAGCAGAGTCCACACCACTAGCTCCTTCGTCGGTTTCTGACTCCAGTTGCAAACTAACAAAGGAACGATTTGCAACTGGATTCAACCAGTTAGTCAGCTTCTTCTTCAAGATACCTTCCTATGCTGCGAGCTAGCGAATTTTGGTGCGTTGAATTGCTCAAGCTGGTTCATGCTATGTGGTATAAGCATAGAAATTGGAGCAGTTGCGCAAAGCAAACATCACTCTGATAAGGTCACGAAAGCTTGATCCAGCAAACTACTCAGCTCAAAAGAAGATATAATTTCCAATATTGAGAGACTAACAATCAATGTACCGTTTTGGCATCAAATAGACCCAAATCAACAGCTTTGAGTTTTAAACTTGAGAATCAAAGCTTCTATGAACTTTGCGTACTAATGGTAAAGCATTGAAAGAGTAGAGTTTTCATGCTCCCCGAATTGACAAGTTATAACTCCACTCATTCATGTTCTTGAAGGTAAGGTTAATGATGTGACACAAAGAGAAGATTTGATATAGAGAAAGCAAATTTCTAAACAGCAAATATTAGAGTAGTAGGTAAGTGTTGTTGTTACTGAGATATCTGCACCAAATGATGTAAATCAACCAGAATTTTTTACTAGGAGATCATAGATTAAAATAAATGGAGTTTCTGCAAGGTATAAATTGTGGATTGATTCATCAATTCTTGAATATTTTACATCAATACAAAATATGATAACGACATTGCATTGATCTTGTTATAGAACCTTCTTCTTATAGAGAATCTTAAGTCTCTGGCAATAAACTTGAATGAGATGTTGCTATGGAACATAAGATGCAGTTGTTTGAAGACTTAGAAGCTAATGGAACTACCAAGAAATCAATATTTCATTGATTGCTAGTGAATGTACAAGCTGAAGTATAATCCAACTCATGACAAGAAAATTATCTTCAAAGTTCTATTGGTGACTAAGATTTACACTAGAGAAACTTATGAATTATAACATACTCATCTCATATATAGCCAAATATGTTACATTTTGTGTTGCAATATGTAATCTTGTTATGGAAGTAATTACAACATTTTTCTATGGATATCTCGAAAGTTAAATCCATACAAGATAATAAGTTGGTTTTGAGAAGAAATTTCAAGTGAAGCTGTTTTTGGATTGCTTAGATCATTATATGGATCGATATATAAGAATTCGCTTTAGTAGAATGTACAATCTTGATCAATTCATGATAGCATATGAGTTTTCACAAAATGTGTTTTATTCTTATGTATACATGAAAAAGAAAAATAATAAGATTTTTAATTTTATTATTCAATTACTATATGTGGATAACATGCTCATCTTAGCAAAGAATCAATCTAACGTTGACATATGCAAAAACTATTTCAAGTCTACATTCAAGAATAATGATTTGGATAAATCCAAGAGTATATTAGGTTTGAACATTCATAGAAATTTGGTGAAGAAGAGTCTATGATTGAATCAAGGTACATAAGTTCAACGTGTATTTGACAAGTTTAACATTTTACACTTTAGAGTAGTATTGACTATTATGGCAGCATAATTTAACTTTTTAGAGTTCAATGTCCAAGCAATGCCATTGAGAAACTAAACATGTCATATGTTGTAACACTAGGGTTTAGAGAGAAGTTCACTCGAAGATAAAAACGTAAACTCTGAAGATGAGAGATACCAACAATGGTTCTCCTCTCCCTTATATAGCTCTCACCAACAAGTACAAGGTGATAAGATCTAATCTCCACCATCCATCTCACTCCTAGTGGATGGATGACGTGGCGGATAACCCTAACAAGTACACGGATCGCTGACGTGGCGCACCCAACTAACACACTCAATCCTTACCTACAAGCACACGGATTGCTGACGTGGCACTGTCAAGTAACACATCCACTCTATACCTACCAAGTGTGCGGATCGCTGACGTGGCAGCTATGACTAGTGCACACTAAGGTATCTACATCAATATTCAGAGTAACCTCTACTTTAGTTCTAACTAACTAAAGATGGTTACAAAACTCCCTCCTTTTAAGATGCAACGTCCTCGTTGCACATACGTTCAAACTCCTTAACTATCAAAGGTGCATTTGCTAAATTTTTAGCTGGTTCCCAAGTTGATTCATACGATGGATAGCCTTTCCATTGAATCAAATACTCTACTTTGGGATATTTATGACCTCGAATACGTTTCTTGAGTATCTTTTCTACCTCAAACTCCTCATGATCTGCTATCAAGGTTGGAAGAGGAGGTGGTGCTGGTTGGTTGGTGAATTGTTTTGGTCGTGGTACATGTTTTCGCAATCGTGACACATGAAATACTGGATGTATTTTCATATGTGACGGAAGTTCCAACTTGTATGACACTTCACCAACACGCTTCAAAACCAAAAATGGACCAATGAACCTAGGGTTTAACTTTGGTGTTCCTACAAGAGACAAATTCGTTGTAGATAACCAAACATGATCTCCAACCTCGAAAATCACTTCTCTACGATGAGCATCACCATGCTGCTTTTGCCGATTTTGAACTATCACCAACTTCTCCTTGGCCTGATGTAGTTCTCGGTGGATATGCTCCACAAATTCGTTGACTGCTGCAACTTTGGTCAAAAACTCCTCTCCTTTGGAAAGTATCATCAAACTTGAAGGAGTTATAGGATGAGCTCCATACATAAGGAAAAAATGGAGACACTTTTGTGGATGCATTAACAGAATTGTTATATGCAAATTCCACAAGTGGCAAAAGGTTGTACCACTCTTCTTGCTCTTCTAATGTGAATGCTCGTAGCATATCCTTTATGGTTCTATTTGCCCTCTCAGTTTGTCCATCAGTTTGAAGGTGATAGGCCGTTGACATTGCTAGTTTTGTTTTGAAAAAACTGAACAAAGTTTTCCAAAATAAACTAGTGAAGTGAGTACCTCTATCCGTGATTAACACTTTGCTTAAGCCATGATTCACAAAAACTGCATCTAGATACAATTGAGCTAGTTGTGGAGCTGTTACTGTTTTTGTGGTTGGCCTGATGTGAATCATCTTGCTCAATTTGTCCACAAAAACCACCACAAAATCATGTCCTAACGAAGTCCTTGGTAACTCACATACAATATCCATGGTAACATGTTCCCACCACTGTTCGGGAATAAGAAGAGGCTGTAATAAACCCGTTGGTTTTTGATTACTTGCCTTGTTTTGTTGACAAGCAACACAACTTCGAACATAAGACTCCACATCCTCACGTATTTTGGACCAATAGTACACTCGTTGTATACTCTCCACGGTT